CAAACTTCCTGGCCCAGCCCAGCCCCACACGGCCCCAAATGGTGACGACGCCCTTAGGCTGTCACCCTGCAGCCGGTGAGTTAAGCCCGTGGCCCCTCCCCGCCCCCAATCCAGCACAGCTGCTACCCATCCCGGGGGGGGGGAGGGGAGCAATGGCGGGGCCCACAGAGACCTTGCTGGCACAGGTGGAGGAGCCATAGGCCAGCAGCATCCCCAGTCCTGTTGTTGCCGCTGACTGTCGGAGCGGTGGCGGTTTCAGCAGGCGTGGCGGCGTCTGCGGCAGCTGGTCAGTCCCCGGGCGGCGGCGGTGATGGGCCTGTCCTGTCCTGACTTGGCCGCAGCCGGTGAGTTAAGCCCTTGGCCCTTCCCTGTGCCCCACCCCCAATCCGACACTGCTGCCACCCACACAATATTGAATGAGGGTGACTAAGTGCTTATGTAGTCCCAGGGAAACTTGTCACTCATTTTCAACCTGTATTCATTGTGGATGTCTTTATTAATAGAATTCTTCCAGAGCCCTCTTTTTGTGCTCCGTTTGTTATGAAGGATGTCTGATGAAAACCCACAAATACCAACGGATGGACTGACATTATGAGCCAATTCGGTGACCACACAGATTTGTGCAATCCCACTGAAGGTGGCCAAGGCCACACCAGACAAAGGGGATATTGAATGGTATCCACCCAATGCTTCGACAATTTGCTCTGGCAGATGATGTTCCCAGATGTTCTAAAGTGTCACACTCTGTTCAACGTCTGCTAAGGTTTTGAACATCGTTTCTGAGTCTTTGGTATCAACCAAGTCCTGAGATGTTCAAGTCTTGAGAGGATCAACAGCCTGGACTAGTTGTGTTATATTTCTTTCTATGAGATGCATGGTTGATATAGGGCTGCACATCCCTTTCTATGTCCTTAGCAGGTATGACAAAGATCTAGTATCAGAGTCCAGTGCCAACTGGAATCCAGGCAAAATACCAACAGTCAAAACTGGTAGTTCCAGGACATTCTCTTCCTTTTTGCCAAGGTACATGAACTGCAGTAGACCTCACCCCTTTCAAGACTCTGCCAGCCAGTGGATTATCAGGAAAGAAAACCCATCACCACTTGACACTGGTGGAACTGTTGCACAATTATGCTTTTAGTTAGTTTCCATTCAACAACAATCACTAATAAACTCTGGAAAAGACCGGTCCCTGTTCTTGTTAGCATTTCTATACTACCCAATAATCAAAGCTCTCTGGGTGATTTACACAGGATTAAACATTTTAAAATACAATATAAACATAATGTAGAATTATGATCATGGGACGGCATATAAATTCTCCAAATAAATAAATAGAAAATTTACCTATGAAAAGTATTCCAAACAAGTCACAATTTAAATCCATGAGTGGTTAATATACATTTACCTTTCAGCCTGGCACTTGTCATTGTTTCCCACGTCCTACAGGCAACTAGTGGCCAAAGACCCCAGGGGACACAGTGTAATTTTCAGTCCTGAGAAACCCTTAATCTTTTAAGGGTTTGAATACAAGGCGATGGTGTCTTTAATGGCCCCGCCTACGGAGTCCTTGTCAGAGTTCTACCTGTATCCATCTCAGATGTTCACACCTGTTTGCCTTACCTAATAATGAGCAGTTTTGGTACATATTAAAGGAGGTCCCTGTCCCTTTCATTGTTGATTTGCTCACTGGTGGTAGAACTGGGAGGATAAAAAGCATGTTTTATGTCTCAACAAATGCAGCAGTGGCTCCGTTGAAGAAGTCAAGAATATTTCATTCTAGAACAAACAAATGCCTAAGGAGTTTATTCAGTTTATTACTACTTAGGGTGAACTGACTTTATTTACACTTTCTGGACTAATGTGTAAGTAGAATGCAGTTTGGCATTTTTTGGAATTTTGCAACATAGTCCTTGGCTCAAAACATACACCAAAATCCACAAAATTTGCACATAAAATTTGCACTTCTAGGTAGAAATGCATAAAGTGCTTATTCTATGTTACAATGCATACAGATATCTGTATTTGGTTGTGGCTGGAAAAACCATTCAAAAATAGTGTACATTTGCATGCATTTTTAGAAAACAGAGATTGATGCCGAATTGGATGGAAGAGAATGATGAATGAATACACGTAGAACTGTGTTTATTCAAAATCAGAGTGTTTCAGCCCTTGCGCCACGGGAAATACGCATCTGTTAAAATGTAGCAGTCAGCCAGGGTGGACACTCCTACATCAGGGATCTGTTATATGTTGTTGTTGCAGATATTCAACAATGTGATCTGCCTTCCACTAAGAACAGTCGCATTATCATGATTTGCCTTAAATGTTCAGAGTATAAAACATAGCAGGGGCCTTGAGACTCTAATAACAATCAGCCATCGTCACAGGAACAGGCAACGACAGCCAGGATTCTTTTCACACTGCTTCCTACAAATATCCACTCTTCATTCACCAGTCTCTTCCAAGCCTTTTGTCACAGCAGTGCTTCTCCACTCTTCAGTACACACGACATTGTACTGCATTTACAGAGCATGAGCCTTCGCCTTACTCTCGGCTATCTGAGAACATTCAACAGACGTGTTTGCAGATTATGGCCAGCCCTACCATGGTGTGAGCAGGGAATGAAGGCAGGATGTTGGAGGACAGGGCTGCACGTGGCACATGGAAGCAGTGCGCGCCTTCAACTGTCCTGCTTCCCCGAGGGACAATGGAGAACACTGTCCTGACGCTGGGTTGAAGGAAAATTCAACTCTATTCTGGCCAGTTTCTGTATGTGGAGAGAGAAAAACGCACCCTCTTGCCTTTTGTGTCAGACAGGAAAATATTCTGTGCCAGCTCCAATCTTTCCCATACTGTGTAACATATTTTTCCATCTATAAGATGCTCCCATGTATAGGAGGCCCCCCACTTTTTCTACCGATCTCTGAGCGAGCGAGCTGCTTCCGCGCGCGTGCACCACCTTGCCCCCCCCCCCCCCCCCTGCTCCTTCGCCGCCCCCCCGCGTGTGCCGCTTCGCCCCCCCCCTGCGTGCATGTTTGATCATGCCACTCTCCCCCCCCTCCCAGCACGCCCACAGATCTCCTCTTGGCCCCCCGTGTATAAGACTCACCTCCATTTTTACGTAACTGTTTTTAAGAAAAAGTAACATCTTATACCCAGAAAAATACGGTAACCCAAATTGTTCATATTAGGGACTAGAGGATCCCCCTTTCTTTCCCTTCCTGAACTGATTCTCTCATGTACTTCATACGGTGCTTCACTCATCCATAATTCTGCTCTGGATAAATGTCTGGATTAATGGACTAGGGGAATTTCTAAAATTATTTCCAAAATTGGACTCTACATGGCACAGTCCCTTCACTTTATTCACATCCTTACCCTCTTACTGTTACCAAAGAACGCATTAAACACTGATAAACCCATAAAAACGGCAAAAAAAGAAAAAGAAAAAGCAAGCAGTGATCGCATGTGTGATGGCAGCAAGATTCTTTTTGCACGGTGCTTCAGTGAGGCACACAGAACACAGTGATGAGAGCCAGTGAGGCAAAGGAGTTAGAATGCGAGACTGGGACTCGAAGGAGCTGGGGCCCGGCCCCTACTCAGCCATGAAGCTCATCCAGTGACTTCGGGCCGGTCACAACCCCTCCGCCTCGCCTACCTTGCAGGGTTGCAGTTATGAGGAGCAAATGGAGAGAAGGACCACCAGGTAAGTCACGAGGGATTCTTTGTCAGAGGAAAAAAGTGGGACACGTGATGGTGATGATGATGCCCTAGCAGAACATCACAAAAGGAATCTCGATATGACCATATATAACTGCACAAAGCTGCAGTTTGCTTTGCTCTTCTGCACTGTTTATCGATGCACACAGGAGCTTCATGGAATCATGCATATGATCGATTAAAGGTTGCCTTTTGGCATTCTTTACCAATGCACACATCAATAGTTATGCAGATGGAAGAAAGACACAGCCCGATTAGTACAACTTATATCAATCCATCAATTACAATTCAGAAGCAAGTTCAGGTAAATTCTGAACTCCAAAATTCCGGGGTAGGGGTGGGGAGGAGAATGGCATGTAACAAAAAATGGAAGTATTCCAGGATTGACAGTGACTTTGTTGTTCAGCTCAACTTTTGTCATTGCCCTGTGAAAGTGGAATTTAATGTAACTAAAATGTGGATAATTTTAATTCTCTTTTGTGCTGAAAATCAATTCAAAGCAGTCTCAACTGTTCTGATAGTGACAAAGGCTTTAATTCTTAGCAAGTTGAATCCACTATTTAAACTGTCTGTATTACAATGCAAAAGCAATTATATATACCTATTTTCTTCTGTTATTAATATTTACAATCATGCAATAACTTACTTTAATGTCATCACTTGCTGATACTCTTTTGTATCCTGATCTCTTTTCCCCCTCATTTGTATTCACTTAGACAATGCTCAGAGAGGCTAAATATATATATAAAACAATGTATACCATATCTAGCATTATATGCTTTTCCAGAGAAGAGCAAAGGAATCTAACAAAAATTGTTTCTGCAAACCCTAATTGTGCAGAGCATTTTATAATAAGTGCCAAGAGATTTCTACTCAGGAAGCAAAAATCTGTCCTTGTTTACTGATAAATTTGCCATTATATTTAATGATATTGGTTCTGAGCTGAATTCATGGATATGTTTAGCCACATTAAATGCACTAATATTTGCTAGTCCAGAATCAATGGAATTTGAAAATAACTAGTTTTTAAAAGGGCAGAAAGTGGTTTGCGAGAGACTTTACTTCTCAGGCTGTAAACACATTTCCTCTGTCCCATTTTCATCTCTAAGTTTTGCAGGTTTTTGAAATGCCAACCTGTTTACCAGAGCAAAAGCAACACAAATGCACAGCCCACGAGCAGCAATTTCTTTTTCAAACTACTTCCACAACTCTATAAAAATGTAATTTCTTCTCTCCAGCCTCCATATGTATGTTCTTTGCATCTGAGCCCAACTTACTTTGTCTGGGAAGTCAGTCTTCAGTTCAGTGATACTTTTACACCAATAGGCTGCTGTTTTTTCACTGATGAGTTCAATGTTCAGGAAAGAACTTTGGCCTGGACCGTAGTTGGGACCTGAGGTCGTTCCACGGACTATTCTTGGAGAAACATTGGTTATACAGTCCTGTTGAAATAGGAAAATGTTTGTCAAAGTTAAAATAAGAACAACCAACAAACCTACTGCAACCTGTTTTTGCAAAAAATACAGCAATGGATCCAGTGGAATCCTTCCACCAGAGAAAGTGAAACCACTGGTAGAATGGATTTTCCCCTCCCAGCTGCAGACCCTACAAGGCACCCCAAAATGAGTTGGTTCATCCTTCAGAGCAGATTCACGGTCATGTGAATTGGTTACAGAGAGGAAATTCTGTCATCTGAGCATCCACTCTTGCAACTTTGGATCCAACCATATAAATGTTGCACTAGACAAAAGTGAAATCAAAAGCAGAAAAAGTGACAAAAAGGCTGGAAAACACAGGAGAAGCCCTGAAGCATAACGAGGTTGTGAAAAGAACCTTCACATTTCCATGAGTGCAGACACACACATGCACACTAAATGCCCCATGTAGAGAAGCTCTAAATCCTGTTATTGGGAGACAGCAGAAGGGAAGTGGAGGGAAGGTGAACATACAAAAGCATATATGCAGCAGAAATTTTGTCCCACCCAAGGCTGAAAGAGTCACTATTGCCTACACCATGTTTAGTTATTTCTCATTCACTTCTGGTAAGTTTGCAGCATTTGAGACCACCCAGAGATAAAATGATGCATGAGTTCTGCTACAGTAGTTGCAGAAAAAGCTGTAGTAACACTTTTTCTGCAGCCTTATACTGAACTGATCCATGGGTCTATCTAGACCAGTCAACAGTAGGAGTTCTTCCAGAGAATCTGGGGATTGAAAAACTTCTTGCCCTTTGTAACTCCACAATTGGGCTGAATATTCAAATTCAGAATATCTAGAACTTGTTTTTGGTATACTTCATCTGGAGAAAAAGTACCTCTGAACATTGGGCAGAGATCCAACTTCTCTACTCCTGAGCACCAAAGCCAAAGTCAGTATGTGCGGCTTGCAGGCGAACACAAGCCTTCTTATTTCTGGAAAGCTGGGTGCTGAACCTTGTTTAGTTAAGGATTTCATAGAATTATTTAGTTAAGTACCCCTACTCACCATCTTGTCACTTCTAGAGAGATAACATGAACCCCCATTAGTATATAGCAATTAAGGTCAATTTACATATTTTAATTAAGATCCATCCCATATAAAACAATTAGGGTAATAGGCATACTAACTGATTTCATAACATTTGGACATTTTTCCAACTAGATAGACAGGAAACCTTAATTAGCATTAATTAGTGCTGATCTGCATATGTTTGATAAGGCATACTCTCACCAGAAATGATTATTTATTCCTGAATCTGCCAAGTGCTACCATTGCAGAGGATAAAGGAACTTCTTTCAAATTGTATGTAAATGTCTAGTAATTTTTATTTGTTTTTCTATTTGGACTATTTATTATAAGATAAATGGTTAGAAATTGTGTCAATGTACAAATATGTACATTCATATATAGAGAAAACATACCAATTAATGTGTAGCAGTTAATCAGCACAGCTGACATTTCAATAATAACTGAAAAATGATACTTGTTACAACTTTTACTACTATATTTTTCTCTGATATATGAAGATACTGCATGCCAATATACTTTTCATTTAATTTCCTGGTGCTGGCAAAATGCAGAACTGGCAGATTTCTTTTTTTGCTACTCATGTATTGTTTACATTTTTTAAAGTTTTGTCTCCATTTTTGTCCAGCATGCATATTCTTCTAAGCTTTCTTTGCATTTAGAATATCAGTGTTTTGTTTTAAATAAAAGTTAATGCAACAAGCTGTCTTCTTTATCACCTTACTTGATAGCCAATATCTTAGAACAGTTTTGCTCAATTTCATGCCCTTTTACTACTCCTTCCATCATCCCCAGCCAAAATGGTCAATAATCAGAGATGATGGAAATTTTACCTCAAGGCATCTGGAGGGGACCAGACTTAGGGAGGATGTTTGGGAGAGGAGCTTCTGAGTGGGGGTTCCCCCCCCCATATTTTGGTGTTATTATTTATTCTTTGAGAAGACACAAGTGTTATAACATTGCTGTTTATATACCTTCACACATTCTGTTGATCTGATCATATATTTCATTTGTTATAACTATTTATATTCTTATTTTAATTATGGATTATGACAGATTTTGGCTTTAAGGAAAACAATACATTTTATGTTGCTTTTTATTTGATACTTTAAAAATCACAGCTATGCAAAGGATTCTATGGATTGTCATGTACAGTCCATTGCCCTGTACCCAATGAAGATTATGCAGTGACATCACAAAGCCTGTTCAAACTGGGGACAGCACATTTCTGTCACTCTGGGTTACAGAGGAAAAATACAGTGAATAATTTTGTTTTCTGTTCCCCTATTGCTGAAAAGGAGCTTTTATTCTACTCATGAAAGATGTCTCTGCCTGACAGATCTCCTTCTTTTCCTTCTATGCATATGCTACACCCTACACCTTTCTGCAGTGGCCACCAATCTTTTCTGTAACATTTTCCATGGGGCTAGAACATCTGCCCTGGGGGAAGTGGACAGGGAACTACACACCCTTAATTCAGGGTCCAACACAATGTGCTGAAAATTTTAGTCTTGAATATATTCAAAAGCTGCCCCTGACCCTTGTTTTGAATATTGTTCCCCCACCCACTCCCTATTCAATCTGCAAAAATTATCTTTGGCTATACCTAAAAGGAAACCTAAATGGTTACTTTTGGGAAACCTCCAAAGGAAAGGATTCCATTTCTAACAACTGCAGGGTCCCTGTTCTGTTGTTAGGAATATCCTACGTATTCCTAAATTCATATTCAATCTAATTTTTTGCAAGCTGTACTTGAACGAGCACTGCTTTTCTTGTCTTCTAGAAAGATGCCCTCCTCTTTCAATGTATATCTAAATATCTGCGGTCTCACAGTTCTTTTCTATGATCTACGTCCTTAAGTTAAGCCATTGTTACATCAAGCATGGTACCATCTACATTCACTGGTTTTATCCAGGCTGGCCTGGAAATGTGGGATTTTGAAGCTGAGAACTACTGCATATAACATGTCTTCTAGTTCTGAACAAGGTTGGAAATGCTCCCTAAACTGTGTGAACTTCAATAAGCTATTTAAATTTGGAGATCAGCAATACTTTGATTCTCATGAACAAAATTGAATAAATATAGGGCAAATAAAATGCCATGGGAGCACTTTGCTAGGTCCTTTTTCATTTGTTTAACAATTATATATTAACTAAAACATTTTATCAAATGAAAAATAAATCACATATGTGGTTCAGCAGGTATGTAAGCATGATGTCATAAGAGAAAAGGTAAGAATTTCTGACACATTTGTATAACTAAATTACATTAAATTCCCTTAAACTTATGCACTCATTCTAGCACCAAAAGAGAGATTTTCCTTTACCAATGTTGGTAGACAAATGAAACTGTTAGTTGAGAAGAATTTTATATAGAATTCTAATTTCATTACAACTTTTGCCACATTATGCATTTCCTCAGTTGCAGGCTACTCCCAAGTGCCTCTTTTCACCCTCTACCACATACATGGAATTCAGAAAATAGAAGTGTAGAAATTTAAGTGTAAACATGTCTTTACTGGGCTAAGTTATGGTTGAGCTGAAATGGCTTGTCTTTTTTTATGTGATTTTTGCTTCACTCCCATCTCCCAGTTTGGGATCACTTTTAGCCATACTTGAAATATTTATTTATTGTGACATGATTTTCATTTCACCAGTAATCTCATATGATCTCATTTGTTGATGTTCAGTGACATCACTGCATCATGTATTAATGCAACAATATGATTTTGTTTGCTGGATGGTACCTGATTGTGTTTGTAGACCAAGATGACCTTATCTGTGAAGAATAGCAGCAGAAGCAGTAACTAAAATTATGGCCCAGAACAGTTTAGAAACAAATAAATTGTTCACATAATTCAACTAGTTATCTACTAGTTATTCTGAAATATGACTTCAAAAATGAAATATGTGTATAAAATACTTCCTAATTTATCTCACTGCAGATTTTGCAGGAGGCTTTAATGGTCAACTGATAAACATTCCAAATCTAGTTTCTCACAGTATATATAAACCTTGTAGGTCTTAGGAATATCAAAACCCAAGGGTAAAACAATTAAATATGGTAGAACCAATCTGAAACACCATAGATATGCAGAACACATCTGTAAAAGGCACAGTATTAACTCATGCAAAGAAACAATCATATTTTATTGGTCAGATAAATTGTATCTCTTTGTAGACTGGTAATTTAACCCTCAGTTGATAGGTGGGGTCAAATACACTGAAGCAAAGCAATAAAATATTTGTCTTCCACAACTCTATGTTCCAAGTAGTTAGCAAAATGACAAGATGTGGATTTCCATGTAGCATTTCGTCAGATCCTGCCCTTAATGTACCGAAAAATCAGTATTTGTATTCTTATGACTTTGTGTTGGGGGCAAAATATTACGAACATAAGCAAACTGGGATTTGCTGGGGAGCGGCAGTTGGTCTAAATTTGCATAAGAATGCATCTATGTGATCCTATATAATCGACCCACTGAAATCAGTGGAACTTAAGTTGGTAATGACTAACTCAAATCAGTGATTTCAGTAGACCTACTCTATACACAACTAAATATTAATGCAATTAACATTAGCACACCCAGCATGTGTAGTGTCCAGCTCCATTTATGTCAAAACCAGTTCCACTTTATCTTAACTTTAAACGGAAGACCTGAGAAATTGTTCGTTGTACAGAAATGTAAAATCTACCCATGTGGAAGGTAGAATTTCAGTTTCAGTGTGTCCTTTTTGATGAAACAAAGAAAAATGAATGGCGTCGTATTTTCAAATGGAAAGCAGCTCAAAGAAGTAATCACTGAAAATCTTCCATACAGAGTAGAAAACTTAAAGGAAAATGCTTAGGGACTTGATATAAACTATCTGGCAGTTTCTTCTGATAAAACAGAGAAAGGATGCAAAGTGTAGGAAGTCCACTTATGACCTGGTGAGTG